ATCCTGTTCTTCACCTCCTTCTTCTGCACTGGGGTTCTGAGCATTGCTGTTGTTTATTTCTTTATGTTTCTGCTCCTGTTCAGAAGTTTCATCAACTGGAAAACAAAGAATTAATTTTAAAAACAGGCTCACAAGGAACTATATAAACAAAAAAGTTACACTTTTTATTGGTTAAATATTTAAAATCCAAATTCATTCATTCAACATTCAAGGGGCACCTACTGGACCACAGACCAGGATACAGAGATTAAAATAAGACACTCACGCTCTAGTGTGGGAGACAAATACTGTGAGCAGAGATATTTAATGCTACATGTAAATGCTGTTATAAGAGAGGAATGATTTCTTAGAAACTTAACAACAAGGTACATCACATACACAGAGTAATAACAGATAGTCTATGTCCTCATAAAAAGGAAGGGGGAGAGAACTAATACTTATTGAGGCACTGTGTTGGCATTTTATATGTATCGCATTACTCCCTCTTACAGGTAGGTGATATCAACTCCATTTGACAAATGAGTATCATAAATAACTGTCCAAGGTCACAGATGCAGTTAGAAGGATGGACGTGAAATTCAAATCCAAGCTTGTCTGGCTCCAAGGTTCATGCTGATGCTGTTTCTATCAAACCATTAAGCTATACTTTTATATGGGAGATGAGACAGTTATACAAACCAATATAATATAAAGTATATTCATGCAATTTCCGGGGCTAATATTAGAAGTCTTCACCTAATCTCTTCATATTTGGATGGGAAAACTGAGGCCCTGAGGTTAAGCGTCCTGCCCACAGTCATACCTGCAAGTCCTGGCCCCTGTGGTCCCTCTAGGTTCACCTTCTAACCCTCACGGGTGATTAGAAGCTCCAACAACAAAATGAGTGTAGTTCCCCAAATCTGGCACCCTGTTTCAAGCCACTCTACTTCTGTACAGAATACCCTTTCTGCCTTTCTTTGCCTGAGTCCCTGTCTCCTCATCTATAAAGGGGGAAAATAATAGTACTTACCTCAGGGCTATTGTGAGAATTAAATGAATAAATATAAGTAAAGCGCTTGGAATAATGACGTGGCACACAGTAAGCACTCCATAAAAAGTTATGTTAATAATAATAGCAGGAGTAGGAGGAAATAGAGAAGAAATAGTAATAACTAACAAAATAAAAACAACTTCTAGTCCTCAGAAGTGGTGACACAGCTCAGGCATCAGTACCTGCAGGCTACTGTGACTCCTTCTCTACAAGGCTAAGTGTCCCCACAGCATTTATTCCTTAAACACTTACCAAGAACTTATTATGCATCACACAGTGGGTGGAAAGAGATTCTGCCCGTCCTTACTGTTGCCTTTCCTTCCCTACACTAGGACACTGTCTGTGTGTATGCCACTCCTACCACAATGAGAACACCTAGTGGGGAGAAGGCAAAGTGGATGGCATAGTGGCACTCAATAAGACAAACTGAACTAAAGACTTTTGTCTCACAGACAATTCCAGACCACAGGACAATGCCTGCCACACTCTTACATCATTCACACGGTAGGCTTTGGACATAAAACATATTTATTTGTCCTTACCAGGTCAAGGCCTTTTTAAAAGGCATTCAGAAGTTGAGTCATTAACACTATCACTTACTTTTTTTCTGTTTCAGTGTCCTGATTTCATCTTCACTCTAAATAAAAAAAAAGAAAGAGCCACCTTTAAAGAAAACTGAACTGTAGTACGTCATCATAGACTCACAAGTAAAAAGCATATTTTGATTCAAATTTAATTCCTTCAAGAGCATAAATTCTTTATAGGGAATGCATTCTTCAAACAGATGACAGAAAAACCAGAACAATAATTTGCTAACAACTCCAAGCTTATAATAAAATACTAGAGAGGAAAGAATACGTCATGTAACATACTTATACTTAAATCATCATAACTTTGGGTCACGAGTGTTTACTGGCTAATAAAAGGCATGAAAGTATATCATGTTACTTGTGGGTCAAATCCAAGGGGACACAAATCATGCCTCCTCCACCCCCAACATAACCCTGGAGGAATGCTACGTAAGAAGGAGTTGCTGGATCTCAGAACCTAACACAAAAGCTATGAAAAATCCCTAGGAAACAGAAAGGGACACAGTGCCAATATGGAAGAGAAATGGATGCATACAGCATAAAGGGCCAAGTGGCACATAGAGGGTTAGACTGAGGAAGAACTTTCCAGGTGTGTCCTTTTCTCTCCCTCTAACCCACTACAATGCTTAGATCACAACCCACCCCATTACTATTCTGGGGCAGGAAAGCAGCAGTACCAGTGACAGCTGGAGACAGCAGGGTACCTGCTGGGCAGCATGGGACACGATACTGATAACAAGAAATGTCAGCAGGCTAGCCAACCTGGAACTTTCCCTCCTTATCCTGTGGGCTGCCGAATTACAAGGATGGCAGATCTGGAAGACTGTGCCTGTTGTAAGGTATCTGAGGTTCCCTGAGGGGCAGAGTACAGGGACACGATAGCTACAGGATGGGAAGTGGTTGAGCTCCTCACCCCTGGGACATATTCCTAAGAAGAAAGCTGATGTGGAGGACTGTTGTGTAGTGTCAGCATTCATCTATGAGAAGTCCCAGAACAGTTCTGTTCCAAATACTCCAACAGAACAAGAATAAAGATCCCAGAAACAGCTTTGCATATAAGTAAACCCGGCATATGACAGAGGTGGCATCTTATACCAGTGGAGGAAAGGACAGATTAACAGATCATGTTGGGAAAACTGGTTCTCTGTAAGGAGAAAAATAAAATTAGATCCCTACTGGATACTGTACAAACTCCAAATGGATCAAATATCTAAATAAGAAAGGTAAACATAGATGAAGAGGAAAATTAGATAAACGCTATCTTAAAAAAACACATAGTAGGTGGAATGAAATGACATACATTAAATACAGTAGCATGGATACCAACAGGGAGGGGAGGAATGGGAATGATAATAGTGAAAGAAGGAATAATAAACAAAATAAGGGCCTTGCTAGCAGCAATGAAGACAGAAAGCCACGGACTGAGAAGTCTGAGTAATTTAATTTTGTTCACCTAAGGTCAACAAAAAAACAGGTAAGTTTCAATCATCAGAACTAAATGATATGAAAGGAATATAAAAACATGCATAAATGATGCCATACACAGACTTAAAAGCGTTTTCTAAACACTGTCAGTACTTAATAGTGATAGAATCCTTATCTCTAGTAAAACTATCCAGGTCTTAACTTTTACACTTTCCCTTTCTTTATCCCTTTTTGCTGAATTCTGAAAATATACGTCAGCTCCACTTTCCTTACTACAAAAGAAAAAAAGTAGTTTTTTTTTTTTCCTTCTTCTTCCCAGGAAGGAAAGAAGCTACTGGACTGTAATTAACAGCATACTTTGGCCCAAGTCAATGAGTATCAAGTGGCTAAATTTGAGGGAGATTTTCCAATTTAAATACTAAAACAAACTAATCATCTTACAGCCAGGCTACCTCAATAATAACCGTAGCATTCATTTCCCATAATGCTTTTGAAATAGAGAGTAATTTGGTTCAATTTTAGCATGAATGCATCTATATTTGATCTCATAGTATTACGGGGAGTGGGAAAGCTGAAAGCACATTGACATACCAATTCTTTTATTCGTTTTCTGTGTCTACTATGTGGATTGTTCAAATGACTGGTAAGATCAAATATTGTTGGTATTGCATTATCTCGAAGAACTGTCCTATAAGGACTCTGAAAAAGAAAAACGTGTTAATTCAGAGATGGTTCTTAAGAATGTATTACACATAAATAAAATTCTACATTAATGATTTGCCCAGTACTCCTTCAACTCCAGCTCTAAAGTGTAGAGACTTGCAAAATTGATGATATCAGTCCAGATCGGCTTACTATTTCTAACTCTTTTTGCATTTGCCCTTCTGGCAATCTTCCTATTATAAAAAAAGGAACTGAATTGATGGTAGGCATAAAAAATAAAATGTATTTGCATTTTGCATATATATTTCTAATTCAGCCTCCCAGCTACTTTATCTGTTCTGCCCTTCCATGAGCCCATAAAATCTACAGCAGGTACAAAGGTTTCTCTAATAATCTATCCTCTTGTATGTTCTATAATAATTCTCCCCTCCTTTACCTGCTGTTCACTCCACTTTTGCTACCATTGTTAAGAAGCATCAGGCACAGTTAAATAATATTGGACTAGGACCCAGGAGACCTAGGAACTAGTCCAAACCCTACCAGTGAGTCACTATGAGACCCTGGCCAAATACTTTCCCCTTTTGGACTTGTTCCCTCTTCTGAATAAAATTCAGATATTGAACTAGATCAACACTTCCCAAAATGAAATTATTCACATACTAATGATCATGTTTGCCATTTCAGTTATATCACCATCTGTACTTCCACACAATCTACTCACTTTTTTAGTTAACATTGTCTTAAGCAATAAAAACTATAAAATAATGATTTGATAGGCTAGTTATATTTTTAACACACATCATGAAACTTCTAAAATAAAAACTGATCCATGTGCCACCTGAAATCACTCATACCACAAATGATATACATAATCATACTTTTGCAAACACTAAACTAGGTATTTCTAAACTCCCTTCTTATCCTAATGTTCTTATCATTGAGGGATGACTATCCTCTATCCTAATTCCTGCTAACCTAATCCAATCTGGCTAGAAGCTGAATGCATACTTAGATGGTGAGTCTTCCATAGCCAGCCCAGAAGAGGTCAGGTAGGGACACCAAGTTTACTAAGAGGTAGAGGAACAGATGAATAACTACTACTACACTCCCCCTAGCTAGTCCAAAGAAACAGTGCTTTAATTTCTTCCCGAATTTGCACTGATGAAGACAAAATACACTTCATTTTAAAAAGCTTTCCTGGGAGCAGTGATTGTTTCAAAGCTGACTATTGAAGCATGTTCAAAGTATATGCCAAACAAAAAGAACAACTCCTATATTTTTTCACCCAGGAAAGGAAAGTTAGGAAGATATGAAGGAAAAATACACAACTAAAAGGCACACATTATCTGAGGTTTTATCCAAACAGTAGTTAAACACATTTGGGAAAAATTTCTATTCAGATTCAATATTTTCTATTTCAATCCCATGCCTCACAGAAAACACAAAGAAGAAAATCTATTTCTTAATGACATTCAGCTTCTAGTGCTGGACCAATTATCCTGAGTCTACTAGGGAGTTTGAATTAGGAATTGATTAGGGACACAATCATTGAAGGGAGCAAAAATTATACTATAAGCAAAGTGTTTCATCTTTCCCACGTAGCAAACATGTCAAAAAGCAAACGCACACATACACAGTCAACTCTTGAGATCTTACCAATTATTAAACAAGGAGAGGATGGATATTTAAAAATTCAAATAAAATTAATTTGCTATAAAGCAAAGATATGACAGACCAGAAAACAGAATATATGAATGATAAACATGCAATTTTTTAATAAATATTTATTTATAAGTACGCATACCAAAAGGGGCTATATTCAATTCGTGTACATAATAATTTTAACTCAGTATCAAGATTTAATCTTTAACTGCTGAATTAAAGTTTGAGCATAAAGCAATGATCTTACTCTAGCATCAAAGATAATATCTGGCTTTGGTTGAACTAGCCACAAATGTTCACTGATGAGATCTTAAATGCCAAAACAATGAGGTCAAAACTCTTAAACATTTGGATATAGATACCAGATAATCCAGCTTTTAATAGCAGTATCTTCTATGTGTGTAGAAAGAACATTTTCTCTCATTTGCACTAATTTATTCAAGAGTTAAGAATCATGTGGAAATTTAAAAAGCGAAAATAGCTCATCTTTCTGTTCTATGCTCTAAGCAAGAATATGAGTGAACTATATTTTAAGTTTTTCACATTAATTTTGTTGGAATTATCTAATTAAGAGACCATATTTATTACTAAAATAAAAGTATAAAAATGCTTATGGCTTGTGTATTTAAAATAATAATTTGGGATATTTTTACTTAATGTCAAGAACATAAAAGTAGTTTGCCTTTTAAACATATGAAATCTCTTACTTTGGCTGATCATTATGACCCTCTTAACAAAGCAAGGCAAAAATATCCCTCTAATATTCGTGATTAAACTGTTGAACCGGAAGTGGCTCACCTCCCAATGACTTCACAAGTATCTGCTTCAATTAATTTTGAGAAATAAAATAACCCAATCATTCTTTAGTTTTCTGATGCCTCTGCAAAATGCATCTGAAAAAAATATCAAAATAAATTGCTGCATAACAACATATAGTGGACCTTCAAATCAAGTTTATGTCTATCCCAATATCTGAGATGATACATTAGTTATACCTACACAAGAATATATTATTTGTTTAACAAAACTGTCTTTCTAACTAGTTTTTAAAGTGTTTCAAGTCTGCTTCATTTCAATCAAATCTGCCCTATTCGTGCATTTTATGAATCACAGCAATAACAGAATCATAGAGGATTATAAATCTTAGATCTCAGGAATTATCTGGTCTAATCTCATTAGAAATTGGGGCCCAGAAAGGGGAAGTGACTTGGCCAAATTCACAGTTAACAGTAGTAAGGCTGGGAGACCCAGGTCTTGATATGCAATTGCAAATTATTGATGGAAATGTTTTTTTCACATTAATTGTATGATTTGCTTCCTGTTGTATATAGCACATAAAAATTAAGAATTGGTTCTACCAACATATACAACACGAAAACAAAGAGCTCCATTGGTCAATGAAGATTTCACTCATAAAAAAGCTCTAGAGAAGCTGCTCCAAATAAAAATGCCAAGTTTACCTTAAATACACACTTTTATAATCATCCAAAATTTTCTGAAGGCTACACAGGAAGTTTAAAAGTGGCTACCTCTGGTGAGCAGGAATGGGGCATCAGAAACAGGAGGATTAAAAAAAAAGGGTTTTAAGAACAATATAGATACTATTCAGCTCTAATTTGTCTTCTTAAAATGAAAGAAGAAAAAAAAAAGTGGCTGGGTGTAAGGATACCCTCCAACATTAATAAATAAAGGTTTACATTTCCAACCAGATATGGAGTGAGTGAGAGAGAGAGAAAACAAAAAAACTAAGCCCTCCTATTACTTACAGTTCTACAGATCATAGAGGTCTCAAAGTGTTTGGCACATAATCGATAATGTTTATTTAGTTGATCAGGTGTTTTATCTTCTAAGTCTGCTCTCCTACAATTCTCCACCCACTTCTGGCATCTATAAATAAAACCAAAACATAATTATGGAATATGAGCTCAACATTTAAATTTCAGCATTCAGTTTTAAGGCAATTATATACTATGGACAATGGATTTCTGCTCCCCTCTACCTGCAGAACATAACGTCATTTGAAGAAATTGATTAACAACAAAATGAGAGCTGGAAGAAACCTCAGAAATCATTCAGTACATTCAATTACAGACAAGGTAAGTAACTTGCTCAAGTCATGTACAAAATCAGCAGCAAAACTAGAACTTAAACCTGAGTATTTCAACTCCCAGGACATCCTAGCATCAGAGAGGACTCCATCATCAAGAGTATAAGCAAAAAGTTGCACAACTATGAGGACAATGCCTAACATTCCCCTCAGGATTTCAACTTAAACAAGCATATGAAACAACACTGTCACTGTAGAAAATTAGTAAGTAGATGTTCTATAAATAACTAGAGTGTCTTACAGAAGCATGATGGCTGTATTCATTTGCCTTATTATGAACATGATTTATCATCTACAATGATATGCACAGACTAGATTGCAAGCTCCATAAACACAGGGATTATGTCTACACAATCTAGTACACGGAAGGTGTAGAAGATAGTAAAGAAGACAAAGTCCATACTCTCTTGGTCTTAAATATCTGCAGAAAAACTAATAATAATAATAATAATGATATAATGCTTACTAAGCACTTATGATGAGCCAAACACTGTCCTAAGTCCTTTCCAAAAGGTGTACTATTATTATCCCCCTTGTGTAGATGAAGAAACGAAGGCACAAAAATGTTAAGTAATTTGCTAAAGGTTACAACAAACTAGATCTTTCCTTCATTCCTCAAGTTTCTAAGAATAAAAATTCTGCCATGAATAAACAGTGTCACAAGGTTGAAAACATATCTTATAATTACATCATAGTATATTTTCTTATGTCTTAGCATTACAATTCACCCCTCCACACACTCTGACACTTAACTGCCTCCACTCTCAATATGTAAAACCACAGTGAAATGTGATTTTCTAACCTAAACTAAAACCACACCTAAACTGTACAGCATTTCATTTGACCAAGAAGTAGGACTGCCCACAGTAATGATGCCTAAGATGTCCATATTTTAATCATATTTTTATATAGTTGTGCAGTATGATTATAAACACTTCATGTTTCAACATCCAAATATTTAGTATAAAAACTGCCTCACTATAAAATAATTTGCCATATTGCTACAGTTAACTTTGCTTTTTAATTCTTAAATCTCTGGAGACTTTCCACACAGAACACCACTGTCTGTAGTATCTCTGAACTAAGTTGAAACAGCTTTCTGATACCAAGAGCACTCAGATTCAACAAAGCATAGATTGGGCAGAGAGCCCAATTAACTACATCTATGTCTTCCATATCAAATACCTAGAAATAAATCTAATGAAAGATGTGCAAGATGTTTAACACAAAAATTTTTTAAATAAATGGGAGGATATACAGGTTCATGGATTGGTATACTGAATTCTAAAGGTATCAATTCTCCCCAAATTGATTTACTGATTCAATACAATCACAATCCCAACAAGTTATTTTGTGCATGTGTGTGTGTGTTTGTGTGTGTGACAGAGAGAGAGAGAGAAGAAATGACAAGATGATTCTAAAACTTTTTATACAGAAATTCAAAGGACTAAGAATAGTCAAGACAATATTGAAAAAAAGAAGTTGAAAGACTTATACTACCAGATATTAAGACTTACTATAAAGCTTACTAAGACAGTGTGGTATTATCACAAGGATAAAACAAATGGAACAAAATGGAGAGCTACGGACACCTAAGACAAAGGTAGCACTGCACAGCAGCGAAAAGGAAATTTTTTAAAATAGTGCTGAGTCAGTTGGAATGAATCTTGATCCCTACTTTCACACCATATACACAAAAATAAATTCCAACTGAATTGTAGATCTAAATATGAAAGGTAAAACAATAAAGCTTCTAAAAGATAACACAAGAGACTATCTTCACTACCTTGGAACAGACGCAGTTCTCTTAAAGAAGGCAACAGAAAACACAAACTAGAGGAAAAGATGAATTAGGCTACTTTAAAATTAATAACCTTTCTTCATTAAAAGAAGCCATTTAAGAGTGAAACGGCAACACACAAAAGGGAAGAAGGTATCTGCAATACATACACATATCCAACAACGGACTCATATCCAAAATATATATGAAGAACTTCTACAAATAAATCAGACAACACAATACAAAAATGGGCAAGAGACTTGAACAGGCAATTTACAATAAAAAGGTTATCCAAATGGCCAATACACAGGAAAAAAAATGCTCATTAAAAAAACTCAATCTCATTAGTCATCAGGGAAATACTAATTAAAACCACAACAAACTATTACTACATACCTGAAAGAATAACTACAACGTAAAAGAGATAATATCAAATGTTGCTGAGAAGGTGACCAGCTTTGCCCATCAACAGTAGAAAGGCTAAACTGTAGTATACTATTACACATGGAATACTATTTGGCAATGGGAATGAACAAACTAGCTAGATCTCACAAACATAATGTTGAGCAAAATAAGCCAGGAGTACATACTATGTGATTCCTTTCATATTAAGTTCAAGAACAGGCAAAACTCATCTACAGTGATTGTGCAGAAAAAGAGTTAACACAGCAGGCCTGAGATTGCTATCCTTAGAAAGCCTCGTTTGTAAGGTTGGCCTTTTGGCTGGTGTCTGGGAACTTGGTCGGTAAAAAGTTCCCTACACTGACACAGAACTTTCCCTAACTGATAAGGTGGCTCTCCGTGCCTGAACTGTTTGTGCATACCATATGATTTATACTGAACACTTGCCTTCCTTCCAGGAGTCTGGAATTTTAGTATATGCTAGGCAGAGAGTGTCTATGTGACCAGACCCCGATAAAAACTCTAGGCACTGGGTCTCTAATCAACTTCTCTAGGCAGAAACATGACACATGTTACTGCATTTTCATTGCTGGGGAAAAGTGGGCTCTGTGTGACCCCTCACAGGAGAGAGAACATAAGGAAGCCTAAAGATGGATGTCTCCGTACTCTACCTGTGCTTTTTCTCCTTATGGTCCAGATGTGTGTTCTTACTACGTGGCTATAATAAATCTTAGCTGTGAGTACAACTATATGCTAAGTTGTGTGAGTCCTTCTAGTGAATCTCTGAATATAGGGGGTAGCCTTGGAGACCCCCAACACAGTGATGATAGTCAGAAGAGGGGATACATTTGGAGGGGGTGAGAACTAGGAGTGAGCACAAAGGAGGATTCTGAGGTGCTGGTAACGCTGTATCTTGGACATTTCCAGAGTATGTTCATTTGTAAAAATTTATCACGTTCTAGACTACCATTTTTGCACTTTTCTCTATGTAAGTCATATATCAATAAAATAGCTTCCTCTCATTCTTCCCCTTCTCAATAACCAACAAATCTAACGTGTGAAGTCAGACAGTGGCTACTACTGGGGAGAGTGGGATAGTGACTGAGAGTGCCACAGAGGAGAGGGAGTTTGGGATGTTAGCAATATTCTTCTTCTTTTTTTTTTAATCTGGTCAAGTCTTATGGACATGTCACTGAACATCCTGTAAGTCATACACTTACGATTTGTGATATTCTGTGTACATATACATTTTACACCAATAAAGTTATAAAAATTACATATTGAAAGTCTTTTAATATACATGCATGTATGTATGTACATGTATATATAAAGTTACATGCTTATATAAGTATATACATACTTACATAATTATCTCTCAAATTTTTCTTTTTTTACCAGTATCTCCCCTTTCTGAGCTCTCCCTGTCATTTTTCTGTGCCTTGTACTCCAGACTCTGTAGCCTTTTCCCTTAGCAGAATGGAATGACTCCCCAAATCCATCTACTTCCAAACTGTTCTTTTGCCTTTCTCTAACCCCTTCGCCAAGCTGCCGAGTAAATGTTTTAAAAAGCCTGTTTGAGAATGTCTTTCCCTGCTTAAGATCCTTTCGTGGCTTCTCATTACTCTCAGGATAAAAAACCAACTCCTCACATGTCTTACAAGGTCCTGCACAATCTGGACCCTGTCTACCTTTCCATCTTTATATCACACCACCCTTCCACCCTCCTTGCCCCTCACACGCCTTACTTCAGTTTCAGGAACGTACCGTGATCACTTCTATCCTAGGGCTGTTCCCCATGCTGTTTATTCAGCCTCGTACCCTCTTCCTGTCGTTTTTTTTTAACTTCCTTTACACAGGAAAGCCTATGCAAAGATCAGCCTTCATATCTTAGCTCAAATGTCATCTCTTGAGGGAAACTTTTCCTGACTCAGATGTGTATATATATATATGTGTATCAGTATGTATACACACATCCCCCCAGGTACGTAAGGCTCCTCTACCTCTCTCTACATGGTCTCTCAACATCCTATATTTATCCTACTATATTATTACCATCAGGATAAACGTGTCCTAGTATCTCTCATCTTAAAAACTCTCTTAACCCTGATCTTCTGCATAGCAAAACTAGCTAGAGTCCATTTTCACTGTATCCACTTTCTCTCACATTCTCTCCTCAATCAATTCCAAGGAGGCTTCTGCTTTATCCTTTTCCCACTGAAACTGCTCAAGATTACTAAAGATTTCCATCTTGCCAAAGCCAATGGACACTTTCTATCATCATCTTAATCACGTTTTCAGTACTATTCAACCATCATCAACCACTCCTTTTTAAGTTTTGTTTTTAATTTTTTCCTTCAATGGTCTCCTACTAATGCAGCATTTCCAAAAACATATTCCAAGGAATACCAGTCAAAGAATTGTTCCATTTATTAAAAAAAGGTTTCATGGGCAAATAAGTTTGGGTAATATTACAAATTTTATCCTACTCTTGGTGTTTTAGACATTCTTGTGGGACCTTGAACAAGTTAGCTAACCTCGCTGTGCCTGCTTTGGTCATCTGAAAGCAGGGACTATCCCAAAATTTATTGTGAGGGTTAAACAAAATAATGTACATA